TAGGCCAACGGACCTCAATTAGACTGTCTAATTTTGGTTTGCCTAGTTACACCGACCGCAGTGAATCTCGCAGTTTTAACGATATACACATACATTTATATATAAATTTTTAAACAGATTTCTTATCAAATTGTCTAAGAAAGGAAAATTCATTACAAATACATCCAATAAATAAATAAATAAAGTGTGATCAAAATAATACTGTTTGTTACGAAAAAAACAAAAGGAGTATAAATTTTAGTATATTCCAGATATATTAAATTGTTTCTCACTTTTAATTTACCAAAAATCAGGGTTTCTTTTTAACATACATTAATAAATATGGAGGGCACAGGTAAGGAGTACAATCTCTTAGTATGCAAAACTATTCGTCAAAGGCAAACTAAAATGGCTTTTTACTACTTCAACAAAGTACTGTTTTTATGATTTTGAACGATACAGTGTGTGTAGTGCGAAATTTCTAACGTTCTCGAATGGGTAAAAGTTAACTTTAAATTTGCAGTTAGAACTTGAGTTAACTTTTACACTATCGATAACGTTAAAACTTGCACTAAGTACACAGGTAGGTTCAACTATCTCGCCTTGTATCAATTGGACGTTCCATATAACGAGGATGTAAGTCCCATAGACACAGCCCACTGAATTTCTCGCGGGATCTCTCCGATCCGGTTAGAAGTCGTCGTGGCCTAAAGGATAAGACGTCCGGTGCATTCGAGTTCAGCGATCCAACAGTGTTCGAACCCCAGGCGGATACAAATTTTTCTAATGAAATACGTACTCAGCAAATGTTCACGATTGACTTCCACGGTGAAAGAATAACATCGTGTAATAAAAATCAAACCCGTAAAATTATAATTTGCGTAATTACTGGTGGTAGGACTTATTGTGAGTCCGCACGGGTAGGTACCGCCACCCCGCCTATTTCTGCCTTGAAGCAATAATGCGTTTGGGTTGGAAGGGTGGGGCAGCCGTTGTAACTATATTTGAAACCTTTATCTCAAGGTGAGTGACGCATTTACGTTGTAGATGTCTATGGGCTCTAGTAACCACTTAACACCAAGTGGGCTGTGAACTCATCCACCCAACTAAGCAATAAAAAAAAAGACTGTTCGCTACGCTACTAGTACTCTTTTGTAAGGATTTCTAGTTACTATTTCCTGACAGCTGTACACTTAAAACTTGTTCCCCATTTGAGGATAGTTCTCCTTACCCCTACCCTCCGTGATGAATACCAATAAACCAGTGCATACCCATTGGAAGCGTGACCGATGACCTTTTGAAATTATTGATTGCGGATAGATCACCGCTTCTCAAACTTTAAAACTGTTTTTTTATATTAACACGTCTGTTGTATGAGATCGTAAACATGACCCAAAGGTTGTAAGGTCTACTGCTCTCGCGTCAATTACATCCGTACGGTTCGGTCGAAAAACAAGACCAATCCGGATATTATTTCGTGTTTATTTAATATCATTGCGGTACCGGATTTAAAATCAATTAGCTTTTATTTCTTTTTAAATTGCCATTTAAATTCAACAAGTTCCCTAAAGTGAGAAAGGAAGAGGAAAAAAAGACGAAAACTTTTAAATAAAAATTACCCTGTTTTGAAGACATTGTATATCTTAAAAATCGTCCTCAGCCTTTGACAATGATATTATTTAGGTTTCATTTTTTTTTTGTTTCACTTTCGCACAGATAACACACGCATTCGGATGTTCATTCAAAACATTAAAACTTCAGAATTGCATTTTCAATTCGACACTAATTTTTTTTTTAAATGCGCATCTCTGTGTTATCTGTGCAAAATTCGAATATCACTAGTTTTCTAGGGGGATCCTATTAAATTACAGGGCTTTCGATAATGAGAAATCAAATCAAAACGAACCGGTAAATATTCGAGATAGAAAAAAAAAGACGGATATCATGACGTGGTCGTCCTAGACTACCTAACTAACTATTCTTATACGAATCTACGAGTATACTTTTGAACTTGGGACGCATCTTCAGATTTAACTTCTCTACGCAATACGAAAAGAGTTAACAAACTTCAAAATTACAGTATTGGATCTCCAAAAAAAATGTATCAAAGCGACATCTACCGGCCAACTTTGGAAATACNAAAAGACGGATATCATGACGTGGTCGTCCTAGACTACCTAACTAACTATTCTTATACGAATCTACGAGTATACTTTTGAACTTGGGACGCATCTTCAGATTTAACTTCTCTACGCAATACGAAAAGAGTTAACAAACTTCAAAATTACAGTATTGGATCTCCAAAAAAAATGTATCAAAGCGACATCTACCGGCCAACTTTGGAAATACTTCAGAAACGCACTAACGATATTTTCAATAAAACTTTAAAACGAATGTAAATTTGATACGACTCCAACACAAAAATATACCCGTGGCTACTATTTTACTTACATACCTACTAATTAATAACATCGAAACATCAATAAACATACATAGATTATAACATTACAATACTAAATAGCCTACACGGTAGGAACGAAATATAAAATGTTTTCTAAAATAAACCATAATGATATTATGCTCTTGTATTATCTGTACAAATTTGATTCAATCGGTAGCGTTTTAAGCGGCAGCCAGAAAGGCGTGTTATTAACGGTGTCAATTGGCCAATACACTGTCAACAAACTGTCAGCTTGGCCATGACAGAAGCCTTCAAATAATGTATATATTTAATTAATTGTAAACTTATTTCTTAATCCTTCGCCACTTTCGAACCGGCGTGGGAAGACATCGTGGATATTATCCGCAAGCAATCAATCAAAATTAAACTATCTCTGAAGCCACGAAACTTTGCTGACAGAGCCATCTATCGTCCGAGAAAATATAAAATTGCAAATACATTTTTATATCGAAAAGTGAAAGACTATTATTTAATTTAAGTGACATTAATTATCTTTGTAATTAAACGTCCGTTTTATTTGATTTAATTGAAGTTCAATTAAAAGCATCAACAATTCGATGTTTTTAATTGAACTTCAATTAAATTTACCCTATTGAAATTAAATTTACCCCATTGAAATAGCCGAAGTTTTTTTAATTTTTTAATATATTTTTTTCCAAATTTAAACTTCAAATGTATCTCCTGTAAAATTGCAAGAATGTCGCTCGAACCAAAAAAAAAACGCCTTTCACCCTTCGATATATATTTTTTAATAGTTATTCGACAATCCTTGTTTTCTTTTTTCGCATATACCACAGCATCACAAATATATCTGCTAAACGTCCCGCATACAAAAACATATCGATTTATTTCCCGTATCGATTTCTCGATGATTAATCGATCGCAAAAAAATCAAAATCGAACTATCGACAGCCCACCCGACGAACAACAAGTCTACTGACACATGTTACGTGTTACTATTACAATAAATCGTTTTAATTAATAACAAAAAAAAAGATGTATACATATTTATATATATATTTAAACTTACTACTAAAAAACGATTAAAGTTGATTCTATCGATACAATTCAGAGACCCATGACAAGAACTGCTGTAGTCCAACGTCGTTCCTTCTCGCTCGCACACATCAACAGTACGCCACGAGGGAGAGAGACAAAAACATTTTATTATTTACATTTTCCTGCAACCGTCTCGCAGTTAAAGAATCAAACGCGAAACGTTAAAATGTTTTTAATTAATAATTAATTAATATAATATCTATTATAATTATATAGTTATATATATTTATATGTTTTTTTTTAAATATTATTTTAACATTAAGATTACTACAATGGCACAGTTCGCCGTAAGTTCAGACACGCCGGCAAATGAGGATGCATCAAACAGTAATGAACCAAAAAAAAATTGTATTTCTTTAGTAACAAAAAAAAAAAAAATTCTAATTGTTTTTGTGCACCGTCATTCGCAAATGCGTCCTTTAAAATATACAATCAACTTAAATACACATAGAGAAATAGAGAGAGAGCGAGATAGAGTATTCAAAGAGAAAGAGATAGATAGAATCCATGATTCGGTATTCCACCGTGCAACTTCTAAATACAATCCAATCAATCAATTACAAATACATATATTTAAATATCTATGTAAATAATATAATTATACTATTTAAATTATTATTCATAACGTTTTTGGCGTTAACATGATGCGGCTAATTCGAATTAAAAAATAAAGAGTATTTTATTTATGTTTTTTACCTACGCCCCAAACAATGAGCAAGCGAATAAATAACTAATATAATAATTAACTTGATGGGTATTCGATAACTATTCGCCTTCAGCTTACAATTTAGAGCATACTTGTATCTCTAAAGAACAAAAAAAAACTCATTTGGATTTCGTTAAAACACTGACGTCCCAACCCCCCTCACACCGCGTTGGAATCACATCCCTAAAGCTAGTCAATAATGAATAGGACAGAGTTCATTTTTATAATTCCCAAAAAAGTTACAAGACTCAAACGAATAGAACTTCATTACATATGACGTCATATGGGGGCAGAATGATAATGACTTTTAGACGTATCAGAATTGATGCGTTTTGCTCTTAAGTAGATTTCGGTGAGTAGTTACAGAGGTATTGGTTGTTATTTCACAACAACTATGGAGGGGATGATAGTTCTAATTTAAAAAAAAAAACATCCCTTATATAATTATACTGTCAGATCGTTATTTTTATTATTTTTGATCCAACTTTCTGTGCAAGTGTCAGTACAAAGATATTCAGTTTAATATCAAGTATCAAAAATTCATGTGCTGCTCTTTCCAAATAATAAGTAACTAAATAAAGTTTGTTTTTTTTATAATTATTATAGGTTTTTAACATCAAATTCAAATTTTATAGATATCAAATTCAATTTTTATTCCAAAATTATTAATATTTTTATTATTATTCTATTCTAAAATTAACAAAACAAAAACAAATAAAAATACAAGAAAATGCGAAAAAAACATGACTTGAAGACATGTCATTGAAATTTAATTAGAAGTCAAAAACTTATATATTTAAATATTCAATTTTTTGTGGAATTGTGCATTCATTAGTGTTCAATAATGGCAACACCAATCGACCTTCCCCCTTAACTTAAAAAGGCGTAGAAAAATTCGAGAAAAAATTGAAATCATTAACACACTTAATATCAATAAGTAAAGCTATGGACGTGAAAAACATTGATCGTTATTTGTGGAGAACGAATGGAGATGGATATAGAAAAAAAAACACTTAAAAGAACTCGTGCACCTTGCGAAATACCGATATTCCTTTTCATTTCTTCGCTTTGACTGTGACGTAGGTGGGCTCCTCCGCGTCCGGCCTTAACAGGAGGGGCAAACGCCGATCCGACCTGTCGCCCCTCATATCCGGCCTCTCCCTTATCTCTGGCTTTTCCCCCCTAATTTCAGGCCTTTCGCCCCTAATCTCAGGTCGGTCCCCCCGAAAGTCGGGCCTCTCCCCCCTAAATTCGGGCCTCTCCCCCCTAATCTCCGGCCTATCACCCCTAATATCCGGTCGTTCTTTACACACGGACGCGTATATAGCGGGGGGCGGGGCGCAGGCCGCGTCTCATGTTTGCAGAGCCGTGTTCAGCTCTCGATGAATCGTTGCCTGTAAAATTTAATTAAACATACATTATTACAAAATAATTTTATATATACTAAACTCTTACAAGCTACAAATAGCTCAATGTTACTGCCACAGACATACGAAGATTTCAGACAAGGCTATTTTCATCGAAATTTAATAAGACCACACGAGCTGCCGAAGTATGGTCCTTTCGTGCTACGCGCTAGATATATGCCAATAAAATCTATAAAGAGCTAATAATATTCGCTGTTTCTCGTTTCGGTTTTTAGGGAATGGAGCAACAATAACATTGTGACTTCCAACTCAATATGCACATTGCCAGAAAGAGAGGTGACCATTTAGAAAAGTTGGCGGTAACAGGCAATGTATGCTGTCGTGGCGTGCAACCTCTTTGACAGGACATAAGACCTACAGCGACTAGACACAGACTAAGACAGACGGACTAAGAGAGAAATGAAACGAGGGCGTACGTGACTAGCGGCAGGCAGTACTTTTTTTTTTTTGCTTTTTCAAGGCGTAGTCTCCTACGAGGAATTCGGGGAGTTGAAGGACCTTGGCCATCCTCGTCCCCCTCTTCCTCTCAGGAGGCACCGGAGTCCGACATAACCCGGTTCGTTACCCCCCCGGACCGGGTATCAGTAAATGAATTCACCAGCGTTGAAAAAAAAAGGCGGTACTTTTTTTGACTTCCTAAAAGACGGACACGAACCAGATGACAAAAGAACTAACTGAAGCAGAAAGCAGAAATTCCAGCAGTTACGCTCTACTCTCAACACCTCCACAATGCTATCATCAGGGCTGAGGATAGACAGGGCTGGCGCGGGAGAAAGTTATTATAGGAGACCACGATCATCAGCATTGAGGATTATTGACGCAAGGAGGACCTTAATGTGAGTTTCAATGCGAGTGGCAATCGCGTCGTCTCGTCAAAGGGATACAAAAAAGAAAAACGGTGCGCGTGTAACTTGGTGCACGTGAATGAAGTGAAACTTAATTTTCGATGTGTAGCATTGTGGTTTTCTTCATTTTTCATCTTTCGAGTGCTACGCATTCACTCTAACTCTGTCTCTTTCTAATCCCCCCCCCCCGTATTCAAACTTTTTAATGATTCATGAGCTGCAGTTAATTATAACTAGAATTAGAATTATCTAGAAATAAGAAAGTAAGCTTAGGATAGAACACTATATGCGCGCGACAATTCCCCTAATCGGTTCCAAGCGAGTACCTAAACGTATTCATTATTTATGGGAATCCCCGGAAATGCGTTTCGTTTTCAAGCAATGCCAATATGTGTAAATAACTACTGCTGACGTAATCACCATATTCTAGACTGTCATAAAAAAAAGCAAAGACTACTCCGCCCCCCTATAGGGCTTACGTAATATTTGAATGGCCTTGCAATAGCGCTGCTGCAGAGTACTCACCAGGTCCTCGAGCTGGCGGGCGAGCTGGTCGGCGAGGGCCTGCACGACTTGCCGCTGCCCCTCCTGGGCCGCTATGGCTAGCTCCAGCTGGCTCTGCGCTAACTTCGCTTCCGCGTCCTGTCGACAGATTACAATTGATGAAAATCTTTCATTTGTCAGATTCGAATATCGGTCCTTTGCTTTCTCGATGACTCCTGAAATGCGAATGATGAACTGTGCGGACAGACTTTCACTTGGCTTCTTTACTGGTGGTGGGACCTCTTATGAGTCCGCGCGGGTAGGTACCACCACCCTGCCTATTTCTGCCGTGAAGCAGTAATACGTTTCGGTTTGAACACCCTTCAGTCACAATATCAGTCCTTTGCTTTCTCGCTGACTTCCTGAAATGCAAATGATGAACTGTGCGGGAAGACTTCCACTTGGCCGATATTGGCCAAAAGTTCATTGCCTTATAACTGTGCAAATTCAAAGCCACGTCTGTCTGTCGGATACAAAACTGAATACCTGCTCGATTTTCTTGGACTTGGTGATCTGAGCGAGCTCTTCGTTCTTCTGGGCGAGCTCCGCTTCAAGCTGGGCCACGCGCTGCCTCAGCTGTTCAACCTCGTTCGCGTCCCCTGCTACGGATACAATGTATTGTTACGCCGGTTCGAATAACGCCATCTATCGCCGAATAGTCGAACGAATATCGAAGGATCTAGTAGAACCCAGAACGCTCGAGAATCACAAAGCCATCTATTGTCAGATAGCGGAAACTGCTACTAGAGAGGTGTGGAATATTCTCGATAATTCTAGAGATGAGGTATCGGCTATAAAAGCGTTGTAGGAATGGCACGCAGTCAATCAGTAATCGGAACTACTCGAAGTGAGGTAGGCAGCGGCTTGGCTCGGTAGGCAGCGGCTTGGCTCTGCCCCTGGCATTGCTGAAGTCCATGGGCGACGGTAACCACTCACCATCAGGTGGGCCGTGCGCTCGCGCGCGCATTACAGTATTTTTTTCTACCTATTCGCTGATAGCCTATGGGGCTATTCCAACTTCGCGAAGACAGGTAGATAAGCTCACGGGCTCAACCTGAGAGAATTTGCTAACACTAACCCTAGCAAGAGCAGTGCTTCGCTGAATCTAGCACTGGATCGGAATCGCGACCAATATTAGCCTATCCATTAAGTAAATGTATTTTCTACATGGATACCAAGTTTCAAGTCAATCGGATGCATGGTTCAGTAGTCATAACGGAACATCCGTATAAACCACTGTAGATTTATATATGAGTGTATTTATTTATTTATTTATTACACTTCATGTAAAATTTACATTGGCGAACTCAATGCCTAAGGCATTCTCTATCAGTCAACCAAAAAAAGTATAGATTTTCGTATCGAAAAAATCCACACGTCATTTCTATATTAAGTTTTAAAATATACCGGCTCGATGAGAATACCTTTTCCAGCATAGTGACGCGCCCTGGCGACCTCCTCCCTGTACTGGTGCAGCTGACGCTTCCATTCATCCACGTTGGCGGTGCTCTCCTGCAGGGCGGCCGTCAGTCGAAGATTGTTACTCTTCAACGTGGCCAGCTCTACCTCCCACTTCTTGGCGTTCGCAGAGCTGTTGAGCAAATATGCTGTTTATTCCCCTACCTAATTGTTGGTAGCCTAGTGAGTTATTCCAACTACGTGTGGAATGGAAAATACTATTACTAGTTGTAACTCTCGCCGAATGTAAGCCTTTATCATACTGGAATATAATCCAGATAAGTATTAGGTAAGAGGACCTTCAATAAAATGAAAATGTACAGTTTGCTAGTCATGTAACGAAAGCATTGAAGATTCCTGCAAACTGAATGGTAAACAGTCGACGTCGCCAAATCACGTCATTTCGGATCCTCCCGGTCCACTAACGGTGATTTTAGGTACCACAAGCACCGGTCACCGACCTCGTCGAGCCCGTCGCTTGCGACGAAGGACTCGACGAGTGAATTGACCCACAGACACAGCCCACTGAGTTTCTCACCGGACCTTCTTCTCAGTGGATCGCGTTTCCGATCCGATGGTAGATTCTGCGAAGCACGGCTCTTGCTAGGGATCGTGTTAGCAACATCGTCAAGCTTGAGCCACATGAGCTCACCTACAAATTCGGTGAATCTAAAATCTATTCTATATATCGCACTGCTTCACAAGTCTCCCACATGAACAGCTCCTTTATCGTGAAATTCGCGTGTCCAACACACACAGCAACAAGACGTACAAGTTAAAACAGCTCACGCGACACACACACGCGACCTACGAAGCGGTAAAATCGCACACGTTACATATTCTTACATATCAAACGTGCGATGATTTTGCATTTCGATAACCCGGTTATTTGTAATTTGTCGTGTTTCGCTCGAAAAAACGATTTGTCATCATAGTTTAGGCTTACAAGTTTGAAAGGATTCTCATTAGCGGTAGCCCAAACTTGGCTTCGCCGTTGATTGCTGATGTGTATGCGAAAGCAATTTTGAAATTTTTTATGTAAATTCAACATATATCTACTTATCTACAAGTTATAGTGTCTTTTCGAACTACTTCGAATGGAACAACAGTAGACTATATTTGTTTTGACAATCGATTTAAGATTTCTTTTTTTAATAATTTTTTCAAAACTTTTTTTATTGCTTAGATGGATGCACGAGCTGACAGCACACCTGGTGTTAAGTGTTTACTGGAGTCCATAGACATCTACAACGTAAATGCGCCACCCACCTTGAGATATAACTTCTAAGGTCTCAGTATAGTTACAACGGCTGCCCCAACCTTCAAACCGAAACGCATTACTGCTTCACGGTTGAAATAAGCAGGGCGGTGGTACCTACCCGTGCGAACTCACAAGAGGTCCTACCACCAGTAATTACGCAAATTATGATTTTGCGAGTTTGATTTTTATTACACGATGTTATTCCTTCACCGTGGAAGTCAATCGTGAATATTTGTTAAGTACGTATTTCATTAGAAAAATTGGTACCCGCCTGCGGGATTCGAACACCGGTGCATCGCTCGATACGAATGCACCGGACGTCTTATCTGTGAGGCCACGACGACTACAAACTTGCCTCTGTCATTTTATTCAAATATCCGTTATCAATCCCAACGCGTAATTAGGTACTTGCAAAACTAAACTGTGATACTAGCAAAAGCATCGCTTCACGTTAACGAACTCTCATAGTTAACGGTACGACAGCCACTTAAACGTCACTTTCGATAAATCCGAGATCAATTACACAACAAAATGTTTTAGCTTCGCACACGCGATCCTAACACAGTAATTACCAAGATCCTAGATTACGAGTATATTGAAACGCTTGGAGCGAAATAGAATTTTCTGTATTTCAAAACATTAGCTCATTACCAAAACAGAAAGATCAGTCACCGTACAGTCCACTAATGAAAAGGTAACTAAGGTAAAAGGTTAGGTCTTCTTTGTGCGTTTCGGTTTGAAGGGTGGGGCAGCCGTTCTAACTATACTGAGATCTTAGAAATCATATCTCAAGGTAGGTGGTGGCATTTACGTTGTAGATGTCTATGGCCTCCAGTAACCATTTAACACCAGTTGGGCTGTGAGCTCGTTCAAACCATTAAACAATAAAAAATAAATAAATAAAAAGTTTAAAAAAAGAAACACCCAAATATAGTCGTCGTGGCCTAACGGATAAGACGTCCGGTGCATTCGTGTTGAAGCGATGCACCGGTGTTCGAATCCCGCAGGCGGATACCAATTTTTCTAATGAAATACGTACTCAACAAATGTTCACGATTGACTTCCACGGTGAAGGAATAACATCGTGTAATAAAAATGAAACCCGCAAAATTATAATTTGCGTAATTACTGGTGGTAGGACCTCTTGTGAGTCCGCGCGGGTGGGTACCACCACCCTGCCTATTTCTGCCGTGAAGCAGTAATGCGTTTCGGTTTCAAGGGTGGGGCAGCCGTTGTAACTATACTGAGACCTTATAAATCATATCTCAGGATAGGTGGTGGCATTTACGTTGTAGATGTATATGGCCTCCAGTAACCATTTAACACCAGTTGGGCTGTGAGCTCGTTCAAACCATTAAACAATAAAAAATAAATAAATAAAAAGTTTAAAAAAAGAAACACCCAAATATAGTCGTCGTGGCCTAACGGATAAGACGTCCGGTGCATTCGTGTTGAAGCGATGCACCGGTGTTCGAATCCCGCAGGCGGATACCAATTTTTCTAATGAAATACGTACTCAACAAATGTTCACGATTGACTTCCACGGTGAAGGAATAACATCGTGTAATAAAAATGAAACCCGCAAAATTATAATTTGCGTAATTACTGGTGGTAGGACCTCTTGTGAGTCCGCGCGGGTGGGTACCACCACCCTGCCTATTTCTGCCGTGAAGCAGTAATGCGTTTCGGTTTCAAGGGTGGGGCAGCCGTTGTAACTATACTGAGACCTTATAAATCATATCTCAGGATAGGTGGTGGCATTTACGTTGTAGATGTATATGGCCTCCAGTAACCATTTAACACCAGGTGGGCTGTGAGCTCGTCCAAACCATTAAACAATAAAAAATAAATAAATAAAAAGTAAAAAAAAAGAAACACCCCAATACTAAAATGGATTTAAGTGACAACCGGACCGGCCACACTGGACATCAATTGGAGAGACATAATAATATGCTCAGCAATGGCCAGTGAAGAGGCTGAGATAATGATGATGACTCAATACTCTTTAACAATGTTATTTATATACATAGGTTTAAGAAAACTATTAAAGAACATCTGTGCAATAAAGCTTACTATAAAGTCAATGATTATCTAGAAGATTGCACAAAGTGGGAATGAGTTGCTCGCTCCGGGCATTTCAATATTGCAATAATTGTAACGTTATAATACTCATTGTAAAAATGAACATTTAAAAAAAATCAAATATAAAAAAAAGACATCAGTGAGTCCCCACCTCATGCATGGTAGGTATAGGGGTCTCAATGTACAAAAAGTCAGGTCTGGTCAAATACATACAGGTATTCGCCCACGGGCTCTTGGGCAATTAGGGTACAGACGATTAAAGCGGTCTAATGTCTCCCAGACATGAATTAGAGAAGCTCATAATTGCGGGTCGCATAGAGGACAAGCGCGCCGAGGGCAGAACACCAGCCAGATGGTCAGATCTAGTAACAGAAGCACTTGGTGGTAATCTGTACCATGCGGTCCACGCCACCCATGATCGAACACAGTGGAAGAACGTCACATGTGGTTGCGATCCTCAGTAGTGAGGGAACGATATAGAGAGAAGAAGATGAATGTCTAGCAAGGGGGTTTATAATATAAACACGATAATTGAACAATCAAATAGCGTTACGATCAATACGCTTTCGTTCCGCAACGTGGACAGAGATAGGATCATTTCAACGTTCGCTAACTCGAGTTGGTTATGTGGAAACTTTGTAAGTGGCCTGGTTGCGTTGGTGAAGAATGAATCAGGGATGATTTTAATTATAATTCCACAATCTTTTTGTATTTTTCTGGAGCCTCCACGCCGAAAGGGTATTCATTCACGGGGATAATCGAATCGAAGGCGCAACTGTGTCGATACGAGTCCTATGCCGAATGCTAATTTTTAAGTAAAGTAAAGTTTTAGGCAGCGGCTTGGTTCTGTCTCTGGCATTGCTGAAGTCCACGGGCGACGGTAACCACTCACAATCAAGTGGGCCGTGTGCTCGTCTGCCTACAAGGGCAAGAAAAATAAATAAAATGTAAAACGAAACTTATGGTTATGGTAGGCAGCGGCTTGGCTCTGCCCCTGGCATTGCTGACGTCCATGAGCGACGGTGACCACTTACCATCAGGTGGGCCGTATGCTCGTCTGCCTACAAAGGCAATAAAAAAAAAAATGTACCTATGTCGTCTCAGTTTTTTTTTATTGCTTTGCTGGGTGGACGCACTGACAGCCAACCTGGTGTTAAGCGGTTACTGGAGCCCATAGATATATACAACGTAAATGCGCCACCCACCCCGAGATATAAGTTCTAAGGTCTCAGTATAGTTACAACAGCTGCCTCACTCTTCAAGCCGAAACGCATTACTGCTTCACGACAGAAATAGGCAGGGTAGTGGTACCTACCCGTGCGGACTCACAAGAGGTCCTACCACCAGTAAAAAATTACTGCTTCACGGCAGAAATAGGCAGGGTAGTGGTACCTACCCGTGCGGACTCACAAGAGGTCCTACCACCGGTAAAAAATTAACTTCCAGTAAAAAATATCTTCGAGCGTCACATATTAAAACCCCTTCTCAGTGGGTCACGATTCCGATCCGATGGTGGATTCGGCGAAGCACTTTCTAGGGCTAGTATTATAATTCGCCAGGCTGAACCCCGTAAGTTCGACTACACCTTAGTTGAAACTAGTAAGACCCCCCGAGATTACTAGGATAGGTAGGCAAAAAAACAACCTTTTATTTTCTAAATATCATAAACTTGTTTTAATTTTTTAATAGCTTTTTCCCGCGACTCCGTCTCCGGGGAACAGTCACTTTGGCATAACGCTAAATTTTACCCCCACTTCATTTACGTAGAAAGTGAAAATATTAAAATATTT